AATAAAGATCAAAGCCTAGTGTGTGCTGAAGAACAGCTGAGAAGGGTATTTATTTATTACAGAGATCTTATTAAAGATCTAATCTTGCAAGACGGTCAACAAACATACTTCCCTTGAACAAGCTCCTAATGTTTGGTCAGATCTTGCCTCGGTCAGCTGCAGAAGGAAGCTTTACAGTTATCTCATGGCAGTTTAAAGTGAGTTATACTTGCAGAAAGAAATTCTGTCATTAAAGGAGACAGTTATACATTTGCTCAATGTATATAGGACATGGTTGTGAAATTCACAGGAATCTTTATCTTGGCTAGGCTGAATTTGGGCCCTAACATAGAGCTGAGTAATTACTTCAGCAGAACCCAGTTCGTTTCTTTGTCCCACCAACTTAAAATACGGAGGCTCAGCTTACTACCTTGGTACCGCTTATGTACGTTTGCAAGGGGGGAGGTTCCAAGTAGTCGAGCTCCTCCTCTTCCACTTCCTTTCCTTGGCTTTTGTCTCTGACATTGTACTGCTTTGGGTGCTTTTCAGATTCCTGTCCATGAGACAAATCATCTAGCAATAAAATAACCAGAGGAAGTAAAGCTTTCTGCTGGGGTAGAGAGCTAGGTCAGCTCAGCAAAGATTCCAGCAGGAAGGTGTGCAGAGGAGGAAGTGGTGAAACTGCAAGGAAGGGAGGAAAGGGAAATTAAACCTTTCCCCCTTCAATAGCAGTGAGCTGTTAGAGCAGCTTAATTCTCTGTCGAACCACAGCCCAGAGGTCAGGCTCACCAGTCAGTACCTTTCCATGCTCCACACCAGCTGTCTGCAGGATCGTTGCGTAATGCATAACTTATTATGAATTAACTGTAGAAACTATTGTACCTACCAGAAGAAACAGGGCAAACAAAATTAAACAGAAAAAAACCCAGACAAAAACCCCTCTAAAAGACTTCTAAAATTCTGTTCTCTGCGAAGCTGAGGATGCCAATTGTCATTGACCACATCTCTGGTACCCAAAACAATGGTGACATTTTACCTATAGAGACAAATGTACAGAGTTCATTATTCTGGGGGGAAAAAAAAAAATCTAACACACTAACCAAATCTAATCTAACACACTAACCAAAAACATGGACATCATACAAAATATTTCCCCTTTTGCAAAGGCGAGTTGGGAAGGCAATTACAGTGTACTGAAATGGACTTAATCAGTGCACCTCTTTACAGCCATAAATGAAAATGTAGAAATCAAAGTATTATATACTTTAAAAAACCAAAACATGTACAAGGATAGTACAAATTACTTTAAAATAAGCCATGCTTAAAATTAGTTGGTTTCTCAAATTGAATTGTTTATGGTGTATTCAGTTTCTTACTAAATAAAGCTAGAAATAAGATCTTAAACTAGAAATTCATCATACCACGATTTTTAGAAGAGAGATCTTTATGTCTCAATTTAAAAAATTCTTACTAGACTGAATGACATGTTTTCACTTTACAAAAGAACTAAGAAGATAAATGTTGCTGTTTCAATTGAGATTAAAACATTAATTTTAAGAATCTGCCAACTTCATCCCCTTTGCTACATCTTCTTTTGGATGATTTCCAAATATTTCTTTTTTTAAAATCCATTGATTTAAAGATGTTGTCAGCTATTCTAAGGTTTAAATAATTCTAAATCTGTTTTTATACCAAGATCTAATTTCTTGTATAGATCTGTGTCTTGCTTCCTTAAGGAAAAAAATTTAAGTCACTGGAAGAATGATTGCCATTAGCATTTTCTTTCAGAAATCTGACATGTTATGTATTAAAAGTCAATACAAATTCTGTCACTGATTTTGAACGAGTTACTACTAGAGTCTCTGTTCATCTGCAAGAAATTAATATAGAATCAGTGAAACAAAGCACTACTTTGCTCAGTATGGGTCTAAATATCTCCTGAAAAAGTAAAAGAAAAGAACTGACAAAAACACAATGAAACTTCTCCATTTTAATATAAAGTTCCCAGATATGCCCTAGCTTATGATGCATAGCATTTATTGTTGTTTTATATACATTTTAATGAAAAGACAACATTACTTAATTCAGCTCTAATTTACTGATATCTAACAAGTAATCTTTAGGGGAAAAAAAAGATACGTAGATAACTTCTCACAACACAACTCACTGAAACATGACAGTTCAGAGCAGTGTAAGCTGAAAAGTACGTAAGAAGGAGCATCAGCTCTTTTAGAGCCAAAATCAGGAAGCCAGGCACTGGTTTCCCACCAGTACAAATGAAAAGTTTCAGATTCAATTTTTTGGGTCAGGAAATTTACTGTTTTCCGTAAATGTTTGTTTATATGCTGATTTTACTTCTCACAAATAATGCCCATGCTTCTTTGTTCATTCTAGTTCAATATGCCTGAGATGACATTTAAAACTTGTCAGGCTGCTACAAAAGTGTTATTTACCCATATTGCACTAGGTTTCAAGTGCTGAGATTTAAACTACCATAAAATCTGCATAATATAGGGTCCAATTCTTTTTATATATATTCTTAGTCAGCACAAGGATTCAGTGAAGGACGAGACTCAAATGTGCTTTATTAAGATTTCTAAATCTTTCTTTTGCAAGAGAATTGAGACAATATAGTGAGGAAAAAAGGGGAACAGTTTTGATAAAATTCGTGTTATTTTTTGTCATCAATTCAATTTTAAAAACAGAGCAGAATTAAAATTCAACTTATTCTTCAAGGGTTTTTTTTATATTTTACTAATTAAACACCTACTGCTCAACTGAATCATGTGACTCAACTTTAACAATATATGAGAAGGTTTGGTAAATAGAATGGGTTAAAAAAAAGCATAAACCTGTGCTTTGTATTTTTTCCAGAAACTCATCTGCTCTCAACTTTAACAACAATATATGAGAAGGTTTGGTAAATAGAATGGGTTAAAAAAAAGCATAAACCTGTGCTTTGTATTTTTTCCAGAAACTCATCTGCTATTCTGGGGACAAAAATAAACTTTCCTTTTCAAAAATAGCCTTCAAGAGCCAACACAGCAAGTGAGCGAAGCACAAGAATGCAAAGGATTTCAGCTTGTCAACAGATGAATTTAAGTGAAAAACCCATCCCCCAGAATGGGGCTCTCAACGCCATGGTGACTAGGCTTGCAGCACACCTCTCGCTGAGACAGGATTATGGGAATGCTTCCAAAAGCCAGATTACAAGGGAAAAAAGGAAATTTATACAGGGCATTAGGGAATTTGCAGTTCATTTTAAATGTAAGTGATACTTCTTAGAGAATGTCACATCACTCCACCCCTTGATAAGGAAAGGCCAAAGTCCAACCGCTCATCTGCTCCCCAGTCTCAGTGTTCAAGAAGAAAATGGGAGTTTGCTAGAAGAGTGAGGAGAGAGCAATGAGGGGTAGTTTGCATAGACTGTAGCTCATGTTGCTATAGAGGAAACCCTCAAGGCACAAGGCAAAACATAACCAAATGCAGCAAGATATGCCTAATGCACTAATTCAGATGCCAAAACTATTCACATTAAAAACGTTGGCTTCAGAAATATTTCAGGGAAAGATGTGAAAGTGTCTTCTAAGGAAGGTCTACAGCCATCTTTCCAAACAGAAATGGAAAACAATGGAGACATGGAAGACATTGGATAGGCCTTTAAAAACAATGGATGAAAACAAAGGGGAGGAAAGGGGTAGACTGCACTTGGTTCATTGTTAGGGAGTTAATTTATACAAAAAAGAACCCTACTGCCAGCATCAGTTAACTATAATTAGAACTATGTGTTAGAAATTAATCCAACACATAAAACCCCACCTTCATAATGCCACGTCCTTATCATTTCTACAGTATTTAAGCACTTAATTCCTTAAGAGTTCTTTTAAAATTTCTAATACGGTGACATCAAATACAAAAAGCCCCTACATTTATATTTCCTCATACAGCTGGATGCTTAAAAAACGTATGTTGTTTTCCAGTCCAGAGACAAACGTATGCAGCCGGTCAGATGATGAAGCTCAGTTTCACCCTAGAGGGAGATTAATGGATCTGATAAACTCATTCTCTAGGAAGGAAAAAAGCTGCTTCCAGACTGTCACTGAATTCGCAGTGACGGACAGTTGGATGATATAAGGTAGCACTGGCTGTTATTGGCTACTAAATTACTTTGCTGTATCAGTTGCCACACATGGGATGCTACAACAGTGAAAATTGGGATGGGTGGGATGGAGAACAAGCATAATTACTTGAGCATCACGACTTCATCAGGCTGCAGAATGAGTCACCACCACCACCACAACATTATATAGGAGTATGAATTCTGTGCGCTTATCACTACTAAGGAAGCAAGACATAGGAATTATTTATTCTTACAAACAGTTATTAGAAGATTTGAGATTTAATAGTGAGCAAACCTGCAGACTAAAATGACCATCAAAATTAAAATGTGCTTTTTGCATATGACTGCATGTCAAAGACAATTTTGTCCTTTGGAAATGACAGCATGAAGGTCAAAAGTATAACTACAGTGAAAATATCAGAGGTCTTCAAAGCAAATTAATATTTTCTTTACTTGGCTCTTTAATGGCATAAGATTTCCCAGTGTAAGCTTGTTCCCAGATGCAAGCAGCTGCTACACACGCATTTGTCCAGGAAACGCATGGTTAGAAATATACAGTCCTAATTTTAGTGAAGATGAATATTTTAAGGCCATCCTGAGTGAAATCAGAATACAAATGTTAAAACTGGCTTCTGTTCAGCCATATACAAGGTGACAAGCAGTTGCTTACCCTAGGACTGCAGAGGAAGCTTTTAAGACGATGCATATTTCCGTGTTTAATTTTCTGATACTTTGCAAAATTCTAGTTATATGGCTTACCTCAAATACTGGAGGGTGGGCAAGGGAATGTTAACTCTTTTATCTGTTATCCAAGACTTTTAATCTAGATTAAACCAAACTAGTAACCAGGAACTTCAGAGCCAGGAAACAAGAACATGAAATGAAGAGAGATTCAACTTACAATTAAATCTTGAATAACTGAAACAGAAAGTATCCTCTTGACGCCACTTTCCACAATTACTCCAAGCCAATTAAGTGCGCCCCAGTACCACAGATAACTCTGTCCTCCGTGCCAATAGCTTACAAAGGCAAAAGTGAGGGCTGTGGAAAAGAGCGTTCCCAGCAGACTGGACTGAGATCCTCCCATTGGAACATAAATGTACCTGTAGGTGAAACAACGATAAGCAACGTTATCAGACGTTTCACAGAAATCTCAGAAGAACATCCACTACAGAACAAATTTGTTATTTTGTGGCATAAAAAAAGAATTTGAATAATTACCTGACATTCTCTATTTACAGAGCTTGCCCTAGTTTCTGCAAAGCTGTAGACCGCTTCATGAAATATGTGCATATACTATTTGGCAAAAAGACAATTTTGTGGTCACAGGAACTCTGCATTAGGCAAACGTATAGCATAAACTATATTCCCAAAATTGCAAAAGACAAATGTTCAGGTTTTTTAAACTGCAGTAGCTGCAAGTCAATTTATATATACAGAAATTACGTGCAATCTTCATGTGAATTTAAATGATAAGACTCAACAAAAAAATTTAAAACATTATATAAAGTTATATACAGTCATAACCCATAGAATGTTTTCCATTTGTCTGAAATGTAGACACATGCAAACATGTTTTATTTTCAAAAGCTTGTAATTTCTTTCTTTTTAAATCATTAATTAAAAATTATATGAACTGAAAACATTTCCTATCTGGTTTTCGTATTATACTCTCAGGATCACATCTGCCTAATGACCTTCAGAGCACGCATACCAAAAAAACCCCCAAAACCTGTATGAAGCACCCTGTGTGCAATTATATTCTGTATTTAAACTGAATCCAGGAGTCAGAACTTTAGTCTTCAATTGATGCTTATAAGTGTCCAGAAAGCAGTTCTCGTTCAGTAAAAATACCAGAAGCTATGGGGTTCTGAAAGCTGACACTGTTTTCTGGGTCACTTCACTTCCTTCCTGCCTAGAGAGCTATATCCACTCCTGGCATTTTCTGAGTAAGGCATGGCCACTGGCCAGCCTTTATCTGAAAGAGTCACATATTTCTGTCAAAACTTTGAAGAAGCTCATCAGGCAACGGAGTCACCATCCAAGCTCATGGGTACCAGAGAGGAGATGCAGTATATGAGAACTGCTGGTGACAGTTCTCCTCAGCTGTCATTCCTTCAGCATGACGCACTGTACTCATATTTGAGACTATTCCTACTTGCTAAGATAATTAAAGGAAATCTTTTGCAGTGAAATTTTTATCTCCGGTTATCACTTTTTACATTCAGAGATAAATACTAGCCTAAAAATTTAAAAGGGAAATTAACATAGTGCTTTATTCCTCATCTTAGGAAGTAAGAAAATACAGTAACAGGGTAAAATAAAGTGATGAGAGTAATTAAAAGGCAAACAGAAGAGTCATTAAAAAAAAGACTGTCAAATGCTCCAAATTCTCTCTAAGCATAACATCAATATACCTTTTTACTTCAACCTGCTACAGGGAACATCTGATTACATTTATAGTGATTTTCAGTGTAAGTGTGCTTTTTGCTAAGCATATGAAAATAAATAGAAATTAAGATCAATAGTTTTTATTTATGTTGTGTTTTTCTTCTCTCTCCCCTTCCTATGTTTTTCTCGGGTCTAGTCTTTTCTCATCACATATATAAAGAAACAGTGTGGCAATAAGAGACACTTGCAATTGCAATCAATTAGTCTAATAGCAGAGAGGTACATCTTAGCAGTCTGTAACCAGGGGGATCCCCTGCAGGGCTCTAGCACAGAGGGTGAAGAGAGGAGAGCCACAGACCCCACTGCTTCGGACAAATTCCTTCTATGCAAAGGACTACAGAAATGAAAGACCAAAGCAGCTCATCCCCTCTTAGGACATACTTTCCCAACACCTTCCCTCTCCCTTTTTAAAGGCTGATTGTTTTATTTTTTAGGCAGGGCCCACTGTCGTTACTAGTTCCCCTCGCAGGCTGGCTGGAGGAGGGCTGGCAGCCCTGCTCCGCAGCCGAGAAACCACAACCCTGAGAGCAGCACCTCCGTGCCCCTGCGGCCCTGCAAGCACGGCAGTACCTTGTTTCGCAGAGCTTTACCCAGAGGAGCCCGAAACAGGGCATTGCCGGCCCTGCCACTTTCAGCAAAGCTCACCCTCTGTCTTACATTTACTGAAACACAGCATTTAAAAGTAACCCAGACACCATCAGAGAGACACATCTCTGTGATGGAGACCTTACTCTAAGCCCTAAGGAAACCTTTCTGCTGAATTCATAGCGTCCTGGGTTAAATCCATGGCACAAAAGTTAGCTTTTGCTGCAGAAGTAGCTCTGGGTTTCCGTACAGTCCCTTTCCCTGCACTGAGACAGAGCTGTTATGTAGGCACCAGCCATCTTAGAATCATAGAATCATTGAGGTTGGAAAAGACGTCTAAGATCATTGAGTCCAACCATCGACCCAACACCACCACCCACTAAACCATGTCCCTAAGTGCCTCATCTGCTCGTCTTTTAAATCCCTCCAGGGATGGGGACTCAACCACTTCCCTGGGCAGCCTGTTCCAATGTTTAACCACTCTTTCAGTAAAGAAATTTTTCCTTACATCCAATCTAAACCTCCCCATGCAGCGCTACAGGCTTGGGGGAGAGTGGCTGGAAAGCTGCCTGGCGGAAAAGGACCTGGGGGGTGCTGGTTGACAGCCGGCTGAACATGAGCCAGCAGTGTGCCCAGGCGGCCAAGAAGGCCAATGGCATCCTGGCCTGTATCAGAAATAGTGTGGCCAGCAGGAGTAGGGAAGTGATCGTGCCCCTGTACTCGGCCCTGGTGAGGCCACACCTCAAATACTGTGTTCAGTTTTGGGCCCCTCACTACAAGAAGGACATCGAGGTGCGCCTCTACTAGCACTGGCATTGCCAGGAATGGCCCAGCAGCACCGGCTCGTTCATTTGCAATCACAGCTCAGTTTAGGTTGGCCTGAATGGCTTGCAGATTACTGTGCAGGGAAAAATAGGCTATTTTCTGATTTTTAGTGTTACCAACAACAGCTAGATAATTGAGCAGCAATAACTCATAATTCTGATGAACGTGATCAGTGAAGTTTTAGCTCCTAGTGAGGCCCATGGCAACTGTGAAACTGAAAACTCACTTGCGCTATCTTTGTGAAGACCTGTCCGAAGAAGGACAGAAGCGAAAAGGAGTCATGTAATCTTTACTAACACTTCAACCTTCCCCTCCAGTACTGTGGACAGTCTGTCTCCTTGCCCGGATGAGAAATGCAAAGCAGAAAGCAACGCCTCTCTCCTTCCCTGCTAGCTACCATAAGAAAATAGAACAAAGGCTGGCTGCCATTTTTTGTCATGAGGGCACTAACCGCCCTCAGGCTGCATGGTCTTGCCTTCCCTTGTCAGGGCATTCCCACTGGCAATTTTTAAGTAGGTATAAAGGACTGATGGATGTTGAGTCACTTCTCTCAAGCAGCGTGAAGAGCAATTCTGTATGTTCCTGTGGTTTTTACGCAGAAAAATTCATGAAAAATCCATTATTACGTTACAGAACACATCAAGAAAAAAAAGTATTTGCTACCTCATCACCCACGCACATCATAGCCACGCCGTGTTCTTGTGCTTACGCTCTTACATTGGCAGGCCTGTGTACAAGCAATAGGCAGCTCAGACAGCGTGCAGCCAGGGCCAGATCCTGGCTCCGTGCCAGCCACTTTGTGCTAATATAACCAAAATTGTCTCGCAAAAGAACACCACAAGAGCCCTTGTTGTTACAAAAATGCATTTTGCTTATTTTTGAGCATCATGGTAGTTTAGAATCTAATTTATCAATACCTTCCCTCCGTGTTTACACAGAAAAGTACTGATTTGATTACAGAAAGCTACGTTTACACTAAAATGTGAGGGAGAATAAACCAGTGAATAGTATTATTAAGCCAGAAGATAGAAGAAACATGTTACTTCTGTGTTATCATTTATGACACAGCACACGCTTTGTAACTAACAATTTGGTGTGTTTTAAACCCCGCCAGCAGCTAAGCCCCACACAGCCCCTCACTCATTCCCCCCCCGGTGGGATGGGGAAGAAAAGGAGCCTCTTACAGTACGTTAGGAAAGTTGTTAGTGAGCTGAAGGACAGAACAAAATCCATGAGGAGGGAGGCAGGGAGAGGGCAAGACTAAGGGGCAATGGCTACTACAATTTGATGTCATATATCTGCATGCTTCCCAACTTTTTTCTTTCTTACCAATACTACCGTCTACCTTCCATCTATCCTACAGTCCTTCTGTACTGCGGTTGTTTTTTTATTTCAGGTGCAAATATGTGGGGCTCAACCTTCCAAGTTTTGTTTACAGGAGATTTAAAACAGATTTGTTCATGTAGGACCCAGTCTTGCAAAGACTTAGAAGTGTGCTTTACTTATGCGCTCTGCATAGCTCCATCCAAATCAGTGAAAGCTTGAACTGACAAAACAGGAATTGTAAGAGCTCAGCCAGATGTAAGAATTTGCAGAACTAGGCCTAAAATCTTTTTATTATGCAGTAGAGAAAAAGTTTTAAATCAATGGTCCTAGGCCACAAAAAGAAAACACAGGATTAAAAATAAATAAATTAAGGAAGCCCAACCCCAGTTCTAGAGGAAATTCCCCTCTAGTTGTCACCCTGTGTCCTGCCACACTTCTCATTTCAATCAAATCTCTTTTGTGGTGACAATCCTTGGGACAATTCAGAAGCAAAATGAATGGTAACTTGGCTGTTTAACTTTAGTCTCAAAATTGTTCAGGCTTACGTTGAGCATTGATTTCATAACTAATGATGAACTCTTTTATTAACTTAAAGGGTCACATTCTCCAGGCATAATGCTGCCCACGTGAAACATTGTGTACATGTCCACAAATAGACCCATCACTGTACAGAACCTCAAGCGATTTCTGTTGTCAGGATGTAAGATGGAATTATTTTATTACTGGTTTGTTTTTTAACTTTCACTGTGTTGGCTATGTAACTGTCCAACTCAAAACAGTATGCTTAACTCCTGAATGCTTTGAAATTGAGAGAGGCATTGGAATTTTGAATATCAAATGTTCCCTGAAATAAAACACAAAAAGCTCATAAATTAATTCTTTTTACAAGAAGTTTGCCATTACAAGCAAATTAACA